TGTGTGTGTGTGTGTGTGTGAGAGAGAGAGAGAGAGAGAGAGAGAGAGATTCGTGATGACAAGGCCGTGTTGAATAGGTTAAAAACATCATCAAAGAAACGAAGACCTAGGAATCAAGGCAGAGCTTAAATACAATAGTAGCATTTCGGGAAATACAAAAACGTTCCAACAGCTACTGTTCAAATGGTTCACAAATTGCCCCAGAAATGCTGTTTTCGGAAGGACAGCAGGGGCAGAGGTGTGTGTGTGTCTGTGTGTGTCCAAATGGGTTTGAGGGGAACTGCTACTCCAAAGGGGAGAAGCAACAACAAGAACAGCACACCTCCTGGGTCCCACAAGGTGGCATTATTTTATAGATGGGCCCGGAGTATGCCCACCATGCCAGGTCTCATAGGACAGACTGGCATAACGCTGAGGCCAGTATTCCCATATATATACACGCATACGTATACGTATACAGGCGAAATACCCCTCACGCATTATCACGAAATCCCCAGAACCGGTTTTGGAAAGTCGCAAAGAAGCAAGTGGGAGGGAGAGCCGGAGTCATTTGGAGGAAACACTGCTGGATTTCAGGAACCAAACCCATCTTTCTTCCCCCAGCCCCACCCTTCCCAAATAATTAGAGCCTTGCTGTTGTTCTTCCACCGGAGACGTGTTTTTCTCCTGACTCCCCGATGGAATTACACCTGTGTCCTCGGCTGGAATATTCCCCTCCGTATTAATTATTGCCCTAAAGAACTTCTTCCGTGCTTTTAATGACTGGATTCTCCCACTCGCCCCCTTTTTCTTTTCTCCCTCTCTGTTTTCTCTAGGAGAAGCACTGCCAGCAGAAATACAACGTCTCCTGCATCATGATTCTTCCCCAGTACCAACGCAGGGGCTACGGCAGATTCCTCATTGACTTCAGTAAGGCCCCCTTCTTATTTTATATTTTTCTGGGTTGGTTGGTGTTATTTTTATTTTTTTAAATTTTCCCCTGTTCTAACTTGGCTTTACGGTTTACGGAGGGTATAATTCGCCTTCGACTGATTTGGCTGGATGTGACTTCAAAAGGATTCTTTACCTGAATCAGCTCTTATTTTGCAAATCCAGGAAACCTCTGCTCTCCACCTCTTAACTCTTTTTTTTTTTGGTGAAAGTTAATGTTTTATTTGTTTTGTGTGTGTGTGTGTGTGTGTGTGTGTGTGTGTGTGTGTGTCTTACATCATCACCTTCCTTTTTTCCTCCCCCGTTGCATGTCCATTCAGCGGTCTTAAATTAACAATCCTGTTTTAAATCTGAATTTTGTTTTTATCCAGAAGTCCATTCCGGTAAATTGTTGCTAATTTAGATCATAGTTATACAATACCGCAGTAGCTCAGTGGTTAAGACGCTGGGCTTGTTGTCTGAAAAGCCAGCAGCCCAGGTTCGAGACCCGAGCGCCATGTGATGCGGTGAACTCTCATTCTCATCCCATCTCCTGCCCACCTAGAAGTTTGAAAGCATGCAAACGTGAGGAGAAAATGAAAAGAAAAGAAAGCTCAGGACCATATTTGTTGGAAATATATGGAAGAGGGCTTCATCCTGCAGGGGATCGATTGTGGCTAAGAGGAAGAGGAGAAGGAAGAAGAAGAGGAAGAAGAAAGAAGAGGAGGAGGAGGAAGAAGATGAAGAAGTAGAAGGAAGAAGAAGGAAGAAGAAGAAGGAAGAAGAGGAGGCGGAGGTGGAAGAAGAAGTAGAAGAAGGAAGAAGAAGAAAAGGAAGAGGAACAAGGAAGAAGAGGAGGAAGAAGAAGGTAGGAGAGGAGGAGGAGGAGGAAGTAATAGAAAAAGAAGAAGGAAGAAGAGGAAGAAGAAGAAGGAAGAGGAGGAGGAGGAGGAAGAAGAGAGAGGAAGAAGAAAAAAGAAAGAATAAATACATCTTTCCGTGACATCATGTTGGCCACATGACCATGGAAACGTCTTTGGACAGCGCTGACTGAATGGCCTTGAAACAGGGATGAGCATCGCCCCCTATAGTCAGCAACAACTAGCCGAGTAAAATCCACAGGGACTCCTTTACCTTTACTTTATGTAGTAGTGGTGCTGTTACACCTCTATTTAGGTCCATCAGCCTTGGGGACTGGGATGGCTTGCTTGAATCTCACCAGGGAGCCTGAGGGGCGGCCAGTGGCTATCTGGAGACGCCCTGCGTTGCGTGCTAGGTTCCAGCCAAATGATCAAGCAAGCAAGCAAGCAAACGAAGGTTTCCTGCCCAGTCGTGTCCATCTCTAGGGGGTGGTGCTCATCTCCATTTCTTAGCCAGGGGGACCATGTAGTCATGTGGCTAGCGTGACTATATACCGAGGTGCATAGAACGTGGTTACCTTCCTTCCAAAGTGGTATCTATTTATTCACTGGCTGGAGAATTCTTTGGAGTTGAAGTCCACAAGCCTTTAAAGGTGCTAAGGTTGGAAATGCCTGCTCCAGATCCTTTGATTTGTCCCAAGTTTGGATTACTCCAGTTTGCAAAGGGAGAATCGATGGAAATTCTGTGATTCTGCCTTAGAACCATAACTTACAGAGCAAAGAGGTGAATTTAGAGTCGTAAACGACTGCTGTGCATGGGAAAAATACAGGTGTATTACTGTACCAATCTGAAAGTTCAGGCAGTGCTGGGGAAGAGACCTCAGCGTTATTTGAGAAAGAGGAAGTACTCTGGTTATTCTTTTTAGTTGCTCTTAAAGATTAGAAAATCTGATACATGCGGATTGTTTTAATTTTTTTTTTTTTAAGAATCTTGAATTGTGCATGGAAGTCAACTAAGTTGGATAGCAACTGACAGGAAATATAAAGCAATGCAGTGCTTTCTGGAGAGGAAGAGAAGTCCCATTTTCAAAGCCAAACTAAGCCAAACTCTACTCATTTTCCCCTTCATCTTTAAATGAGAAGAGGCTCATTTGTGCAGGCAGCTTCCTATGTCACGGAAAGTGAGCTGCGCACATGATGTGCCCTAAAGGGATGCTGACATTTCAGTCCTCATTATCTGGAACTGAACTCCATGCGCTGATAGCAATTTCTAGCTGGAGTTCCAGCTCTTTTCACCTTCTTTAAGTAATTGCTTGTGTACCACCTTGTTGCTGTCTGGTGCATTTGAAAAGCTCAGTGATCGCTCCTGAATCCCAGGCCTTTAGACGAGTCTCTGAATTGACTTCGTTACCAGCTTGCTGAAGGTGAAGTGTGAGCTGAAGGCTGGGGAGGAAAACCCTCTCAATCATGAGAGCTTCTTTGTATTAATTGTAGAACATGGATGACTGGAATTTAATTTTTATAAAGCCAGGGCGTGTAAATGAATTACGATTCCCCGACTTTAAGGTGAAAAATCATTCTAATTAGCTTCCTTGATTTGGTCAATTCTTGATCGTAGGAGGCCTTGACGCTACCAATATACAGGTAGTCAGTGCTTGACTTATTGAGCCCAAAATTTCTGTTACTACGCGAGACATTCGTTAAGAGGATTTAGTCTCATTTTACGAGCTTTCTTGCCAAAGTTCTTAATTGAATCACTGCAGTTCTTAAATTAGGGACACGGTTATGAAGTTAAGTTAATCTTAGAACAGAGTTGGAAGGGACACCTTGGAGTTCTTCTAATCCAACCCCCTGCTTAGGCAGGAAACTCTATACCGTTTCAGACAAGTGGCTGTCCATCCTCTGGCTTCCCCATGGACTGGTTGCAAAAGGTGATCACATGATCCCAGGACACTACAGCCGTCATAAATACGAGCCAGTTGCCAAGCGTCCGAATTCAGATCACACGGCCACGGGGATGATGCAAAGGTCCATAAGTGTGAAAAATGGTCATAAGTCATTCCCCCCCCCCCCCCAGTGCTGTTGTAATTGAGAGCTCCAGCTCTAGGCCACAGCACCACTCTTGGAAGGGACCTTCCAGTGTGTGTTTATAGTCTACCTGGACCTCATTCTCTAGCGTTTCCTTCAGTAGAACTGGTGCCAAAGCCCTTCTCTGCCTTGGAAGAATTACTTGTTTTCCGTGAAAATTGAGATTTTGGTTAAAGGGGGTCCATATGACTATGGTTTTCACATGTCCGTCCATCTGCTGAAAAATCTCAGCTCTTTATGAAAATCCCCCTTGATGTCTGCCTCCTTTTCTTGACGAAACTGTGGAGAAGGTAGCATTTACTAATACGTATTAGATTTCCATCCCATTTTTTGTACAGGAGCTGAAGGCAAGCTCCCTGAGATAGATGTTCATAAGGACCAGAGTAACAACTTATTGGTCGTAACAGTTTGTTTTGTGAATTCCCCCCCCCCCCCCACCAAGAGATGTGTTTCAGGCCCCCTTAAAAGGTAAAGGTTCCTCTGCACATATGTGCTAGTCGTTTCCGGCTCTAGGGGGCGGTACTCATCTCCGTTGCAAAGCCGAAGAAGAGCCAGCGCTGTCCGAAGACGTCTCCGTGGTCATCTGGCTGGCATGACTAAACGCCAAAGGTGCACGGAACGCTGTTACCTTCCCACCAAAGTGGTGTCAGAGTATATTCATGAACTGGAATAGAGTTTACTAGCAAGGTCAGCCAGTGAGAGCTGAATTGAAGGCTGAAACTTAAAAGAGAGAATCTGGATGTGGTTTATCTCTGTTCTGTGCTCAGCTCTAAAGTGAAAGAGAAACTAAATTGCTTGTCTACTGAAGTTGAGTTGCTGTTAAGCTCTGAGCCTGTGTGCTTCTATTTGAGTTTGCTCCGTGTTGAAGTAATCTACAACTGGTATTGTAAAATTCACTTGTGTTTATAAAGAAGTTAAATGAAGCCTCAGCCATCTGTGTTTACTTTTCTGGCGCTGAATTTATGCTGCAATACTTTGAACAAGTGGTCCCTATTTTTCTACTTGCATTTTTTTTTACATGCTTTCGAGCTGCTGGATTGGCAGAAGCTGGGACAAGGAACGGGAACTCACTCCGTTATGCGGCGCTGGGGATTCAAACCGCCGACCTGCCGACCTTCCTGATTGACAAGCTCAGCCTCTTAGCCCCTGAGCCATCCTTAGCTGCTCCCAACTCTTGCTATTTCCTAACCTGAGAAGAGTTGGGTGGTCCTGAGCCCTTTCTGCTATTTCCTAGGTTATCTCCTCTCAAAACGTGAAGGCCAGGCAGGATCCCCGGAGAAGCCGCTGTCTGATTTGGGTCGTCTTTCCTACATGGCATACTGGAAAAGTGTAATCTTGGAGTGCCTTTATCACCAAAACGACAAGCAGATCAGCATCAAGAAGTTAAGCAAACTGACCGGCATCTGTCCTCAAGACATCACCTCGACCCTCCATCACCTGCGCATGCTTGATTTCCGTAACGATCAGTGAGTATCTCATTTCCTTCTCTCACGGAATCGGGTGGCTCGGGAAAGGGCAGGATTATGGTCAGGGCTGATTCTGTAGATGCAAAAATCCCCCCCAAATGCAATTAGCCCTTGTGCTATCAAGGTTATTCTTGAGAGGGTTGTTTCCCCCCCCCCTTCAATCTCAGAAGTCAGGGTGAATTTAGGGAGCCAGAGAAGTGACTGAGGGGTTAAAATAGGAATTGTTCGACTGATCAACTGTTCTCACTGTCAGGAAATTTCTCCTGAGTTTTAAGTTGCTGGATTAATTTCCACCCATTGCTTCCTGCCCTGCCCTCAGGTGTTTTGCAGAATAGCTTGACTCCCTCTTCTTTGGGGCAGCCCCTGAGATATTGGACCATTGCTATCATGTCTCCCCTAGTCCCTCTTTTCATCAACCTAGACATACCGAGTTCCAGCAACCGCTCTTCGTGTGGGTTGATGCATTTTATGAGCCCAACCAATGCGGCTGATTTCATCTCAAGGGTCTCTCTGACATTTCGAAGGCCCCAAGCTTACAGCGGTGAGCAACGGCTGCACCGCTTAGTAGCAAATGCTTAGTAATGCACCTCTCCTCTGAGTCTTCCAGTCGCCTTTTTTTTCTCCCTACATTTCCACGTTTGAGACATGAACTTGATGCCATGTGACTGAAGCCGCCCATCCTTTTTCTCCTTCCTCAGATTTGTGATTGTTCGGCGGGAAAAACTTATCCAAGACCACATGGCGAAGCTGAAACTGAACACCCGGCCTGTAGTCGTGGACCCAGAATGTCTGCGCTGGACCCCGGTCATCGTCTCAAACTCGGTGGTTTCCGAGGATGAAGAGGATGATCCCGAAGAGACAGAAATCGAGGTCCCACCGCAGTTGCGGGAGAGAGACATTGAGGTCAGAATGCGAGGCATTTATGCGTTACTAGCTGGACACCCATGCTTGGCTATGTGTGGTCGGGTTTAGTTTTTGGGGAGGAAAATAAGGGGGGAAAATTGTGCCTCTGCCTACCAGCATCTATCGGTATTCATCTGGCTAGTGTCCTGTCAGTGTGTGAGAGAGTTGAGGGATGTTTGGAAACGGAAGCAGAATTTGCTGTGTGAGCAAGAAGGAGACAGCAAGGAGCCTGGGCGTGGCTTAGTTCAACTGTTCTGTAGTAAAGCTGTTTGGTGCTGCTGTGAAACTGAAACTCCCCTCCTCTGCTTGTGTTTTGCATTTGGAAGAGATTTCTTTTCAGGTGAGGAGTAGGAGTCGAACTCCTTAGCATCAGAGCGTGTTAATAATAATAATATAGGAAATACTAATGCTCTGATGGCCATGTCAAAAAATCCTTTCTTAGTGAGCACCTAGAAGCCAAAAGGAACATATATGCCAAATTTCAAGTTTGTAGGCTTTACGGTTCTGGAGATTTTGTGATGATGCGTGAGCGGTCTTTTGCTTTTATATATATAGAGATGATAAATTGTTAAGTAGTATAGAATCACAGAATAACAGAGTTTATGGAAGTCTTCTAGTCCAACATACTCTTTAAGAAGGAGACCCTATACAGTCCCAGACAAATGGTGGTCCAGTGTCTTCTTAAAAACCTCCAGTGATGGCGCACCCATAACTTCAGGACACAATCTGTTTAATTGTTCTCATGCTCAGGAAGTTTTTCCTTAGTTCCAGGTTAAATCTTCCTTTAATTATCTTCCCTCCATTACTTCTTGCCCTGCCCATAGATGCTTTGGAAAATATATTAGCTTCCAGCTCCCAGAATTCCCTAGCCGGCATGCTGACTGAAGAATTCTGAGACTGAAGCCCGTATATCCATATGCAATGAAGAAATGGAGCCTGTAGAGATTCTCAGCCCTCCAGGTCATGGTTGTCCCAAAGGGGATTTTTTCAGGAGGCAACTGGACTTTCTTGGTTTTCTTCGAAGCTTCTTCAGCTCTGATTGGATGGTGGGGAAGGAAAGGATTTATATTCCTTGCAGACAGCTGGTCATTTGCATCTTTTTAGAGGGTTGTTGAGGCCACTTGGAGGTTTATCTGTGCCCTCCGGGTCACCTGAATAGGGTAAAAAGTTCCTGTAGGCTGCATTACTCCATTAGCACTACCCAGGTGACTCTGAGGACACAGATAAACCTCCTAATGGCCTCAATAACCTCCTAAAAAGATGCAAATGACCAGAGCTGTCTGCAAGGAATATAAATCCTACCCTTCCCCACCATCCAGTCAGAGCTGAAGAAGCTTCTTGGAAGAGAAGCGAAACGTCTTCGAAGAAAAACCAAGAAAGTCCAGTTGCCTCCTGAAAAAAGCCCCTTTGGGACCAAGTGAGATATTGTGGTCTAGCAGTTCAGGCTACTGGAAAGAGGCCTCACCCTTTTTCAGAAATCTGCCTGGAAGCAAAGCACACTCACTAATTTTTTCCCCCTTCAAGCTCACTTCCTTTGCTTACCTCTTGAAGGGCGTTGAAAGTCCCCCCCTCACTCGGCCTGGTCCTGCCACGCCTCCCATGGCTTCAGTCACCAATATCATAACCATGTTTTAATTTCTTTTCTTTTTTTTAAAAAAAAGGATCCCAGATCTACCAGTCCCAGGAGCTTGGTCGTTTTTTATTTTTATGGCAGCCAGAAAAAAATAATAATTTCTTTTTATACCCCACCCCGCCATCCTCTCCCCTGTCGTCTCCCCCCAGGTGATAAAGTGCGTCTCCTGGGAGAGGAAAGAGCGAGAGCCTTGCTTTCCACTGGAGAGTGAAACCAAGCCGGAGGTTCTCCCGGTCAACCCCCTGCGATCTGGCAAGCAAAGTCTTCCCCTCAGCGGTCTTCCCGCCAACAGCCACACGCCGCGCAGGGGCCGGTGGAGCCGCAAGAACAAAAAGCTGCGGGAATCCTTTACCGAGAAGGACCCAAAGCTGACCTTGGAGGAGAAGTCGGCAATGGCCAGGGGCGGCCGATGCGGCGAGTGCCAGGAAAAGGCGGCGGCAGCGGCGGCGGCAGCGGCGGTGGTGGTGGCGGCCTCTCGAGGGAGGTTTGCCGAGTGCGAAGAGAAGGCGGCGCCCTCCCAGGGACAGTGTGGGAAATGCGAGGAGAAGGCCCCGACTCCCCGAGGGCACTTTGGCAAAGAGGAAGAGAAGCCGGCCTCCGCCCAGGGGCCCTTTGGCAAAGGCGAGAAGGCCCCCGTCGGCCAGAGGCGGTGCAGCGAAGGCTTGGAGGCCTGGAAAGGGCAGATGAAAGCCCTCGAGCCCCTGAAAAGCCGGCTCTCGGAGCAGTGCGACCGGCTAGCCCGGCGACACAGCGACGGGGACCGCACGGCGCTCAGGCACTTCAGCGAGAGCAGCGAAGACGAAGATGAGGAGCCTGCCAGCCCCTGCTCCAGCTCCCCACCGGTTCTCACCAAGCCGGCGTTGAAGCGGAAGGTGCGTTTCTGCCTCTCCACCATTTGGGGTGGGGTCCCCCCTTCCAAACTTGGTAACTTTAAGCCTCGTGGACTTCAACTCCCAGAATTCTCCAGCCAGCGTACGCTGGCTGGAGAATTCTGGGAGTTGAAGTCCCACGAGGCTTAAAGTTGCCAAGTTTGGAGACCTCTGGTTTGGGGGCTCAGGAGAATGGCGCATTAAACAAAAATGACAAGCATTCAGCATTGGGCCTCAAATGGACTCTTGGACCCCTTGCTGGTTTTCCATCCAAGTTTGGTTAAGTGAGGAGCCTCGGTGGTTGCAGCGGTTACGGTGCCGTACTGCAAGCTACTTTTGCTGCCGCCAGCTTCCTACAATTTGGCTGTTTGAATCTCACCAGGCTCCAGGTTGACTCAATCTTCCGTCCTCCCGAGGTGGGAAAAATGAGGACCCAGATTGTTGGGGGCAAGAGGTGGACTCTGTAAACCGCTTAGAGAGGGCTGCAAAGCACTGTGAAGCGACATATAAGTCTTAAGTGCTTTTGGGAAGGGAGGGAGGAAGAAGGAAAGAGGGAAGGAAGGAGCTGTGGTTAACGTGTAGTACTGCAGGCTAATTCTGCCAAATGCCAGCAGTTCAATCCTCACCAGGCTCCAGGTTGACTCAACCTTCCATCCTTCCAAGGTGGGTAAACTGAGGACTCAAATTGTTGAGGGAAAGAAGCTGACTCTATTGCTTAGAGGAGGCCTGTAAAGAGGTGTAAAAGTCTGAGTGCCCTTCCTTCCTTCCTTCCTTCCTTCCTTCCTTCCTTCCTTCCTTCCTTCCTTCCTTCCTTCCTTCCTTCCTTCCTTCCTCCCTCCCTCCCTCCCTCCCTCCCTCCCTCCCTCCCTCCTTCTGGTTAGAATGCAGTATTGCAGGCCAACACAGTCATCAGTCACATTTTTCAGTGCCCTTGTAACTTTGAACAATCACTGAATGAACTGTTGTGAGTCGAGGACTACCTGTAAATGTACAATCTGCTTTTTTTTAAAAAAAATTCCCATACGTATTTTGTGATTCTGGGTGCCTTAAATGCCAGAAGTAATAATGAAGCGTTGGTAGCCAAGTTTCCTTATTTATCTGCCAGACGTCGGACAAGTGGTTTGTATGACAGACTATCTAAAAATGGAATTAATAATGGTTAGGTTTCATTGAAACCGGGGAAATCTAAGACATTAATATACACTTCACATCCTATGGGCTGAGTTCATGCAACACCCTAAGCCAGGGCTCCTCAAACTTGGCAGATTTAAGACTTGTGGACTTCAACTCCCAGAATTCTCCCAATTCTGGGAGTTGAAGTCCACAAATCTTAAAGTTGCCAGGTTTGGAGACCTCTGCCCTAAGCCCTAAATCAAGATACCTTTTATGACTGTTTTTAATTGTGAGGAGCTGCCTTCCATTGAGTGGATCAAAAAATATAGAAATACAGAGCCACGGAGCTGGAAGGGACCCTGGAGGTCTTCTAGCCCAACCCCTACCCAAGGCAGGAAAACGTATACCACCTGAGATAAATGAATATCTAATATTTTTCTTGAAGACTTTCGGTGATGGAAGAGCGGCAACTATGGGAGGGGAGCAGATCCGTTGACTAATTTTTCTCACCGATGCTTATGATAAACATCGATAAACAGATGCTTATGAGCTATCAGATGGTGGAGATAACTTTGCAGTGTTTTTTTTTTTCTCACCATGTTGTTGTTGTTGTTGTTTCCTTTTCTTTCTTTGGACTGTCCTGCGCAGAAGCCCATTCCCCGGAAGAGACGAGTCCGTAAGCGGAAACACCACAACAGCAGCGTGGTTACCGAAACGATCTCGGAAACAACGGAAGTCCTAGACGAGCCGTTTGAGGACTCGGATTCCGAGCGGCCCATGCCTCAGCTGGAGCCCACCTTTGAAATGGGAGATGAGGAGGAGGAGGAGGAGGAGGAAGAGGAAGAAGAGGAGGAGGAGGAGGAAGAGGAGGAGGAGGAGGAAGAGGAGGAAGAGGAGGAGGAGGAAGAAAGCGAATTGTTCTCTCGGGGATATCTCCGCCGTCTCTCTCCACAGGATTCCCTGAGGCATAGGCCCCCCTTAAAGAGAGGAAGTCAGGAAGAAGAGGAATCCGATGATATGGCCGGTAGGTTTTCTGATCCTCTGATTCCGTGTTTCATCTGAATCCAGGACGGTTGATGTCTTCCCTCCCTTAGTATTTATTCCTCCAGAATGTCCAAACTTGGCATTCTGTAAATGTCCAGTCAGTTGGTACGTGGCTTAGGCAGGCACACTCAATATCTTGGTATGTGAGAATGATCTTGGGAGACAGGGCAAAGAGAGGAAACGGTGTGACGGTCAGATAAAAGGCAGATGGGCCCGCAGCGGGAATGTTGGCAAGAGAAGACGACTCAGAAGACACGCACCCTGTCCCTAGTGTCTTGGCCAGTAAAGGGGACGGGCTGGTGATTTGGACTTTCAAATTTGCAAGATTGTGGTAACCCAATTAAATTAGCTTATCGGGTCTTCTTCCCTCTCTGGATGACACCCATCTAGCTGCCCGCCCTGTTCTACCGGAGTAACTTCCTGTGTTTTTGAACCCAAAAGAACCAAACAAACGTTTGCCATAGAGAGCAGAACTCATCTCTGCTTCCTCGCCAAGGGACCCAACATTTTCCAAAGACGCTTCTGTGGTCATCTGGCTGGTGTGACTATATGGTGGATAGTAATTCAGGGACGCGGTGGCTAAGAGGCTGAGCTTGTCGATCAGAAAGGTCGGCAGTTTGGCGGTTCGAATCCCTAGCGCCACGTCATGGAGTGAGCTCCCGCTCCTTGTCCCAGCAGCTTCTGCCAACCAAGCCGTTCGAAAGCACGTAAAAAAATGCAAGTCGAAAAACAGGGACCCCTTTGGTGGGAAGGGAACAGCGTTCCGTGCACATTTGGCGTTTAGTCCTGCCGGCCACATGACCGCGGAGACGTCTTCGGACAGCGCTGGCTCTTCTTCGGCTTTGTCACGGAGACGAGCAGCGCCCCTCCCCCAGAGCCGGAAACGACTAGCACGGATCTGCAAGGAGGGGATCCTTTGCCTTTAATTCAGGGAAAAAAGGAAGGAGGAAGTGGGGAATAGGCAGGATACAAAACTTAGGAAGAAACCTCAGCCCTACAGGGAGATGGGGGAAAATGGTGAGAAATAGCTCAGCTAGCCGGAGATAAATTTGCTGAAATCCCTGTAAATAAACGTTCCTGCTTGCGGGAGAAGCAAACCCCCCGAAGCAGCTGTGCTTCTGCAGTCCAAGCAGAAGTTCTTCTGACCTTGGTTCCATCCGATAAGGTTACCCAGCGTCGTCCCTGCCAGCCAGCCCACTTGGTATTGGTATTTTCAGCCCACAGCTGCTGCTTAGGGGGGCCCCAGAACTGGCAGGAGCAGGCCAGGCACGCACTACCCTCTAGCCGTCTTAGCTTTTAGATTGCCTGAGGTTTTCATTGAGATCCTTTGAAAATCTGGCCCAGGATTAAAACTCTGCCTAAGGCTGATGCCTAAGAGAGCGGCCTTCCGAGGGTGAAGCTGAAGATTCTGGCGTGGGATAGAAAAGGAGGCCACTTGAGGAAGGAGGGGCGTGAGCATATATTTTGCATCCATCCATACGTTCTCCCTCCCCTCTCGGCAGCCCTCATCTCATCCAGGACTAAACTAAAATTAGAAAGTAGCGTGACATATTTTTAGCCCAGTAGAACGTTGCTTTCAAATTGCGTTTGTTCAGACATACCAGGGTGAGCTCCCTTGCCAGGAGAAACAGCGTGGGGAAGTTGTGTGAATGGCTTCTTAGCCCTTCCGCAGGTATCACCCAAATCTTTTAATTGACATCTTAAAATAGCAGTCACTCACCCACCCATCCACCCACCCACCCTGAGTGCTTTCTGGAATATGCCTCTTAAATTGAGGTTTTTGTTTTTGTTTTAAACAGCTAGTCTCCCGCCTGCAAAATGCTTGTGCCAAATTAGATATAATGATATCCAATCACACACAGATGCCTAATAAAAAGTTGTTTTCCATTGACAGGTCTCTCTCAGTGGTTGACTAGTAGATTGAAAGGAGGTTGGAGCACCTGCGATCAAGGTGGTTTTATGTGGATTGAATAGATGGAGCATTAGTACATGATGAGACTTCCCACCTTGTAATGTGATGGACGTCAAAATCTACCTTCCTGTGTGATGGGTCCCCAACAAAATGCCGAATTGTTTTCCTGGCTCTTCCCCACCTACCCTCTTACTTTCAGCAGTGCCCGCATCACAGCACACTAGTCAATTATGAAGATGACTCTTTAGATCTAACCTTGACAGCTTTAAGACACTTAAGATGCTGGCTGGGGAATTCTGAGGGTTGAAATCCGCGTGTCTCCCAAAAGTGCTTTTCCAAGAGGCGGCTGGACTTTCTGTTTTTTCTTTGAAGATGTTTCGCCTCTCATCCAAGAAGCTTCTTCAGCTTTGACTTCCACACCATCCGGTCAGAGCTGGAGAAGCTTCTTGGATGAGAAGCAAAACATCTTCCAAAGAAAAAAGCAGAAAGTCCAGTTGTCTCTTGGGGAAAAAAAAGAAAAAAGGCACCTTTGGGACAACCAGGAACAGGATGACCGAGAATCTCCATCGACATGTGTCTTACAGTTACCTGAAGGTTGGGAAACCCTGCTTTGGATCAGGGGATCCCAACCTTTTGGGCACCAGGAACTGGTTTCTTTGTGGGCCATTTTTTTTCCCCGCAGGTGGGAGAAGCGGGCATGGGTTGGCGTGCTGCCTGGTTCCTGCTTGTGCGCTGATAGGGCTTTGATGACTTGCACAGCCCGGTTCCTGGTGGGCCGTGGACTGGTGCCAGGAGGTTGGGGACCCCTGCTTTAGATGGTCCCCTTGGTGCACCGGTAATGTGCTATGTCAGTGGCAGCGTGCCGTAAATTTCGATCTAATACTATGCCTGAGAAAGTATTGCTTCGTTGCACCTACAGTGTGTGTTCAGATGCAGCCTTCAAAGACTCTCTTTTCACCCCAGGTCTTTGATGAGGGAGGGTGATAACCCCTCCCTCCATCGCTCTTCCCATCTTTTATCTTTAGTTTTTATGTTTTTATTGATTTGATTGTAATTCCCCCTCCCCCCCTTTGTTTGATTGTTGTGAGTCACCCAAAGTTGCCAAGAGATGGGTAGCATACAAGTTCAACTTAATACGGTACGTCTGTCAGATGCTGACCGTTGGATTTGGGATTTTTGTCCTCCTAGTGCGTCCTTCCCAAAGACCTGAGATAGGCAGATGGGGAGGTTTGATGGAGTTAGAGAGGAATTGTCTCAGGATGTCAGCTGTCCTAAGTAAAGCTGCCTTTTGGATCTGACTGGTGGAGAATTTGTCAATGCTGGTGGTGCTCTGGTTGTTTTGGGATTGTACCCAAGGCGCCCATGACCGTTGATACTATCCTCATTTTTACTTTGCCACATTGTTCAATTTCTTTTTGTAGGCCTTTGTATTATGTTACCTTCTCCAGGTCTTTCTCTTTGGTTCTGCTGTCTCCAGGTACAGCCACGTCCAGCATCCAGACCATTTTTGGGCAGTTGTTAATGTTAATTGTTGTTATTATTATGGTTGGTCACTCATGATTATTGTTGTTTTATTATTATTTTCTAGAAATATTTCAGTATCATACACGTTAAGTCTAGGAGTTGAGAAGTCTAATTTTCCCAGTTTCAGACTTTGAAACAAATTGGACGACTTTCCCAATTACACTGGCCCAGAATGTAGTAGACAAAATTTTTGTGTGATTTTGTGAGTATATATAGGGTTGAAAAGTTGACTTAATATGGTTGCACTTGACTTAGCCAATAATGTGGGGCAGTCTTCTGCAACAGTGAGAGTAAGGGGTATAGTTCCCCCCCCCCCCCCAAATTCTAACTATTTCAGACCAAATATGTCTCCGAGAAAATGAAAAAGACAATAATGAATATTATTGTTCTCATTAACAGTGCTTGATAACATTTCACAGGTGGCAGGATTTTGAGAAAATTACTTTATTGAATCATTACAGATCACCAGTGTAAACAAACATCATTGATCCGCTCTAGATTTTGGCAGTGCTAACAGTAAATAATTGTGGATTGCTGTTCCAAAGTTGACGCCTTCTGTTTTGCATTCTCTTCAGATTCTCCTACTTTGAAACCCGTTTCCTTGCTGAGAAAATGCGAATCACTGGATTCTCCACTCCAGCCTGGCACTTCCACCCCCATGAAAAAGAAGAAAGGCTGGCCCAAGGGCAAGAGCCGTAAGCCCATTCACTGGAAGAAAAGGCCCGGGCGCAAGCCAGGCTTTCAACTGAGGAGGGGGAAAGTCCGAGCACCTGCTTCAGAGGAGACCACCGATCTCATGGAACCTTGCTCCAAATCAGGGCGTAAGACGAAAGTGCAAGACGAGGAAGAGCTGGCTGAGGAGAAGGAAGAACTTCTGCCCAGTGCTGAAGAAAGGAAGGATGAAGATGGGCCTCCGGAAGTTGGCGATTTAGGAGAAGAGGAAGATATTATGCCTGCTAGAGAAGCGAGGGTAACATCACCCGTAGACAGCAGCAACAGCCCAGAAATGGACTCTAAAGAGCCTGAACTGGAGGAAGACGTGGAGAAGCCTCAAGTCCTCGAAGACCAGAGGCCGCCGTCCGAAGAAGAGCAGCAGGACGCGGAGGAACCCGAGCATGACCAGGAAGAGGAAGAAGAGGAAGTGGCCGCTGTCGCCAACCAGCACGAAGACCACGATGCTGACGACGAAGAAGACGATGGCCACCTGGGCTCGGTCAAAAAGGATGAGCTGGAAGAGCAGGCTGAGAAGGAAGGGCTGAAGGAAGACCCCGAAGTCCAGGAGCCTTTTTTAGAAACAAGCACACAGGACGATAGAGAAGAGGACGCCAAGAACAAGAGCGAAGGCGAGGGCAATTCCGAGGAGGATGCGGTGTCCCACGAGACGTCGGTCGGGTCAGACCCGGTTCCCGTCTCGGAAGACGATCCAGAGGAAGAGCAGCACCCCAAGGAAGGGCTGATGGAGCTGAAGGAAGATGAGCCGATCCCTCACAGTGAACTGGACCTCGAAACGGTCCAGGCCGTGCAGTCCTTGACGCAAGAGGAAGACAACCACGAGCACGACGTGGCTTATCAGGACTGCGAGGAGACGCTGGCCGCTTGCCAGAACCTGCAGAGCTACACCCAAGCCGAGGAGGACCCCCAGATGCCGATGGTGGAGGACTGCCAGGCCTCCGAACACAACAGCCCCATCTCCTCGGTCCAGTCTCACCCCAGCCAGTCGGTGCGCTCCGTCAGCAGCCCCAGCGTGCCTGGTGCCCTGGAGAGCAGCTACACCCAGATCAGCCCCGAGCAGGGCTCCCTGTCGGCCCCTTCTATGCAGAACATGGAGACCAGCCCGATGATGGACGTGCCTTCGGTGTCGGACCATTCCCAGCAGGTGGTGGACAGCGGCTTCAGCGACCTGGGCAGCATCGAGAGCACCACGGAGAACTACGAGAACCCCAGCAGCTACGACTCCACCATGGGGGGCAGCATCTGCGGCAACGCCTCCTCGCAGAGCAGCTGCTCCTACGGGGGCCTCTCCTCCTCCAGCAGCCTGACCCAGAACAGCTGCGTGGTCACCCAGCAGATGGCGGGCATGGGCAGCAGCTGCAGCCTCATGCCCCAAGGCAGCGTCCCGCCAGCCGCCAACTGCAATATCAAGTCTCCCCAGAGCTGCGTGGTGGAGAGACCCCCGAGTAACCAGCAAGCCGCGGCGCAGCCTCCCCAGGCCCAGCAGCCCCAGCAGCCCCAGCCCCCCCCTCCGGCACAGCAGCAACAACAGCAGCAGCAGCAACAACAACAGCAGCAGCAGCAGCCGCCGCAGCAGCAACAACAGCAGCAGCAGCAGCAGCAGCAGCCGTCCCTGTCGCAGTGTAGCATGAACAACAGTTTCACTCCGGCGCCGATGATCATGGAGATCCCGGAATCGGGCAGCCCCGGCAACATCAGCATCTATGAGAGGCTCCCCGGGGACTTTGGGGCCGGCGGTTACTCCCAGCCGTCGGCCACCTTCAGCTTGGCCAAGCTGCAGCAGCTGACCAACACCATTATGGACCCGCACGCCATGCCTTACAGCCATTCCTCCGCGGTGACATCCTATGCAACCAGCGTGTCTTTGTCGAACACGGGCCTGGCGCAGTTGGCCCCCTCGCACCCTCTGGCCGGAGCGGCCCAAGCACAAGCCACCATGACCCCCCCGCCCAACCTGGCCCCCACCACCATGAACCTGACCTCTCCCTTGCTCCAGTGCAACATGTCCACCACCAACCTCGGCATCCCTCACACCCAGCGGCTGCAAGGCCAGATGCCGGTCAAGGGCCACATCTCCATCCGGTCGAAGTCGGCTCCGCTGCCCTCGGCCGCGGCCCACCAGCAGCAGCTCTACGGCCGCAGCCCTCCGGCGGTGGCCATGCAGGCCAGTCCCCGGGCCCTGGCCGTCCAGCGGGGCATGAATATGGGGGTGAACCTGATGCCGGCCACCCCGTACAACGTCAACTCCATGAACATGAACACCCTGAACGCCATGAACAGCTACCGGATGCCTCAGCCCATGATGAACAGCAGCTACCACAGCAACCCGGCCTACATGAACCAGACGGCCCAGTATCCTATGCAGATGCAGATGGGGATGATGGGTAGCCAGGCCTACCCCCAGCAGCCTATGCAGCCCAACCCCCACGGGAACATGATGTACACGGGCCCCTCGCACCACAGCTACATGAACGCCGCCGGCGTCCCCAAGCAGTCGCTCAACGGCCCCTACATGAGGAGATGAGCAGGACGAGGCCCCGCCCCTCGCCCCGCCCCTCGCCCCGCCCCAGAAACTTCTCGCTCAATCAAGGAAACTTTTATACTGACAGACGGGAAAAAAAAAAAATCAGAGACAACGGACCTGTTTAATTTTTTTTCTTCCCCCCCCCAATTAAATATTGCTGTAGATCTTAGATAGGGTTTTTTCGTTCCCTTTCGGATTATTTTAATTTTAATTTTATTATTTTTTTAAAGGGGGCCTGGTCTCTTTTTTTTTTCTTTTTTTCTTTTTATTTTAGCCACCCACCTTCCTTCCTCCCTTCCTCCCTCCCTCTCCTTCCTTCCTTCCTTCCTTCCTTCCTTCCTTCTTTCCACAATCTGGAAACGCTTCACCGTTCCAATCTCATTTTGGGGGTGGGGGGGGGGACTGGGTTTGGGGATCCCAATTTTTTTTCTTTCTCCCCCTCCCTCTTTTTTTCCGTCGGGGGGCGGGGAGGAGAGGGATTGAAAACGTGCACGCCGTATATATTCCCATCATCGGACTTAGAGAATTGAGTCCTGACTTTGCCAGAACCGCCTGGGCAAAGAGTCCGCGGCCTCTTTGTTTTTAAGGTGCGGGAAGTCTTTTTCTCCTCTTGACTCCTTGTGTCCAGCTCTTCGGGTGGCCCAATCCTGAAGGGTCAGAGCCTTCCCACCTTCGGCCTTGC